CTCCGTTTCCTCCCACAATGGTGGCCATCATAGGAATTAGACAGTGCGTATGTCGATGCGTCATGCACCAATGATTCAGCAGAAGATCTGACGCTGAGTGACGTAGCTGGCTTGGTGTTTTGGGGAAGATCTTCTTGCTGAGCTGAATTTGGTGTTTTGTATTTGCTGCTGCTGCTGGCAGGTGGATGTTCTTGCAGAGCATCTTTTATCATTTGTATAACCAGGTGTCATACATGGCACTCGACAACATTTCTCCCCTGACGTTTTCTGTCGGGAACACCATGAAGAGAGTGGTTGTCATTGTTGCTGCCATCATCGTGTTCAAGACGAAGGTCACTCCTCTCAATGCGATTGGGTCAGCTGTTGCTATCTTTGGTACTTTCCTCTATTCACAGGTGTGTGCGAATCGCTAGCATTTCTCCACCCGAAGTCCTGAGTCCAAAAAGCTCAAACACAGAGTTAATCATATGAATACAAAACACGTCCTGGAAGTTGTGCCATGTTGTCTGTTGTGTGATGATGATGCTGTACCTTCTCCAGTGAGAGGTATCAATTGAACTATTCTCCTCACAAAACAAAGCTGCTTATTTAATTTCATTCTCCGGTGGTAGCCAACAGTTCGTCTGTGTACTTCTGCAAGTTCGAAGTTCAAAATTCAAATAGCATTCTTCCGTCTATTCATCACCTGTGAGATCGCAGTTCATGCTCAGTCATAGTATATGTGTACTTGGTATATACTATGTAGTATATACACCATGTATCATAGTAGTGTATATAGTGTAAACTATACGCTATAGTATATACTATGTATGTATGACTCCACCGGTTAAAGGGTAGGCAAAACTGTTAATGTCACGAGTGAATTCCAAGCAATCTCCTTAAAACCATGTATCTTAACCGGTTACCCTGTGCTTAGTAATGGAGGCCAATAACTATCTGCAACAGCTGTTTTACATGTGTGTGTGTGTGTGTGTGTGTGTGTGTGTGTGTGTGTGTGTGTGTGTGTGTGTGTGTGTGTGTGTTGTCATGTTCGCTATACACAGCGCCACAGAAAAAGCATGATTGTGCCATCATTGGATTTTCACCGACTCATCAGGAGGTTGAATTGTGTGTGTGTGTGTGTGTAGGGGGGGCGGGGGGGGGAACGCATGCTCATTTGGAATTTTCCTTCTGGTGGCTTGATATCTCTCAGCATCATTACACTGTGACGTTACGAGATATGCTCAACACAGGGTTCTGTTTATTTATCCATATGTCCATATCTGTGTGTCTGTGATTTTGCTGGATGTTTCTATGAATGCAGGCAAAGGCATATTCTGACAAAAAGCAGAAATAGAGGTTGGGCAGCAAAAAGGAGGTGGGATCTGAACAGGTATAGAGAGAGCAACAGAATGTGCAGCAGAGGTGGTGTTTCTCCGGTAATTGGGGGGGAGGGAGTTGGGAGGAATGGGGGGGGGGGGGGGGGGGCAAGGGGGAAAACGGGGGGGGGGCAGAGGGAGGGCAAGTTCACGAAGGAGGGCCTTTATGTGAGCATGACGAGGTTGGGGGTGAGATCTGAGATGAGGTAGGTAAGACCAGAGCAGTTGCGATGAAGAAGTCTCCGTCTCTTAGCGGTTGATTCTGCCGCAACGACACCAGGAGGCGGTATAGCAGGAGGTACAGCAGGTGGTATAGCAGGCGGTACACGGTACTTTTTATCTCTTCGTGACACGGGTGTCTTCCGTGATCACTGTCCCAGCATTTGTTCTTGCTTGTGCTGAATTCTGCTGACTTGGCAGTTGGGAAGAAGCTGCTTTTGCTGAATCCTGCTGACTTGGCAGTTAGGAAAAAGGAGGTCAGTTTCTACTATCTAGGGTTGATAATACTTGATATGTAGTTGTGAGATGATGTACGTAACATGTAGTTCAGTCTAGGTTCGTCCTTGATGCCCACCATGTTTAATTAACTTTAATATCTACTTCCTGCATCTGAGGCATGACGGCCCGAAAGGCTGCCGCTTATTTACTGTGCCATATTTCCAAGAATCATAGTCTCCTCGTTGATTGTACCGATTTGGTTTCATTCGCTCTGGAACTGACATTATGGTTGGTCGATCTGGTTTTCATTCGGTCCGGTTTGGATTATAGAGCCTGATCAGATCAGAAGCTCTAGAATCCAGATAGCCTTTTAGTATGCAATGCTATGCATGCAAAAATATGGCCAGTGTCTTGCTTGCCTTGCGTGCATCTTGTTGTCGCCATACTGGGGGATTGGCAACCACCCTCCCCCAAATCCATTTAGTATGCAATGCTATGCATGCAAAAATATGGCCAGTGTCTTGCTTGCCTTGCGTGCATCTTGTTGTCGCCATACTGGGGGATCGGCAAACTCCCCCCAATCCCCCCGTGTAGGGATACCAAAGGAACGCCCACTTGATCACGCCGTTGAGTAAGTAAATTATGAGTCTTTGCTGCAATGACAGTACCAGCTAGGTTGCAGGGTACAGGGAAGAGGGGGAGAGGAGGGGGGGGAGAGAAAGAAGGGGATAGGAGGAAGGGGAGGGGGAGGAGAGGGAGGTGGAAAGCTCCCTCCTCAAGACAGCCGAATGCCATGTTGTTTATTTGTGAAAGCTCTTCGCAGTTTGTTCATACTGTATAATGTTAACACAATAGTTTTCATTATCCTTCCTCTGACGCATCTGCAGCATCAGTGTTGATTTTACTCATCCCTCTTGACCTCAATGGATTGCAGGAGGATTGTTCTGGAAGGTGTGTGATTACTGGTTCTGGTTTTGTGTATTGAACGAGAGTATTGTTCTCGAGATGCTGTTGTTGGTTTCGACTCTTTTCGGGGAAGCATCCTCTCACTGTGTTTGGTTTGTTCCTCGTCTTCGCCTTCAGGGAGTGGGCTTTGTGGATTTCAAAACTACCATCCTTCGGTAAGCGATTGCGGGTTTGCATCGTCGGTGTCTGTGTTTGATGTCCGTACTTAGCGATTGCAGGTAGTTTGGCCCGAACTACCCAAGTGTTTCCCAAACTATGAGACACACTGTGCCTGTTTGATGCATTACGGAGAGAATTTACGTATTCCCAGATGGGAAAGAGTTTGTCAGAAAAGCTACCATTTCCATTCCTCTGAATGATACCTTGGTTTTCGTGGACTCTCGAGGGACCATTGCTTGGCTTGCTGCCGTTTTCTCACCTTTCTTGCACAAGGAACTGAGACAGACATGTGAAATTGCGGAGTGAAGAAATCTTCTTCCGCATCAGATGTTGGCGGAGACTTTTCTTTGCAGACGATCGCAAGCGGATCGACTGACATTGATTGGGAGGAGGTTGGGAAAGCCTTTGTAACAGGTTTAAGAGAATGAGAGGCAAAACATGCGCTTTTCAGCTTCCGATGATCGGGGTTTTCGGATTGAGTTCCACAAGAGAGAAGACTGGTTAGACTGGTGATCACCAACAAGGTGACCTGTCTGCTCCACAAGAGAGAAGACTGCTTAGACTGGTGATCACCAACAAGGTGACTTTTCTGTTCTGGATACATCTACTGTGGTGGCGTTTCGGAAGGAAAGGGTTGGAGGGGGGGGCGGGGGGGGGAGAGAGAGAGAGAGAGAGAGAGAGAGAGAGAGAGAGAGAGAGAGAGAGAGAGGGAGGGAGGGAGGGAGGGAGGGAGGGAGGGAGAGTGGCATACATGTACAAAGTGCAGGAGAGGGAGAGAGAACAGCATGGCAGGCAGGAAAGAGCGGCTGGATGTGTGCGATGATCTCATTTTTGTCTTACATTTTATGCCAGCACCATCAACCCGTTCCCTTTCTGATATGAAAGACCTGGCTTGCTGGTATTATGTCCTCTGTGCTGTATGTGCAGAATTTGTTATGGAAATCAATCGTTGATGTACAGGATACTGCAAGTAGGTGAAAAATGGTATTGATGCTGTCCGATGTTATTCAGATGAAGGGCGGCATCGTCTGCGATTTGCAGGCAGCGAAATATCTGCCTGCATGTACGCCAACACCGAAGCAGTGTACACAGTTCATCATAATTGTTGCTTGCTTGGCGATCCTGTACGGACCTTTTCTGGTCTCGTGCCTTGTCATCGTTTCGAGGACATGGATTCCACTTCCCTATTTTCGACATGACATGTTTCATTAAGATAGAATCGTTCGTAGTGCTAGGTCTCTTCTCTTCCTACTCTTCTCCCATAGTAGCGCTACGTCTCTTCTGTTCCCACTGTTCTCTTCTCCCGTTTACTTCACCAACCTGTCTTTCGGTGGAACCTATCTCCTGGATTTGTCATCCATACAGTGGTGAGCAGATGAACCTGTCTTCCTTGCTCAGCCAAGCCTGCGGTGGTAACCAGGTGAGGTCCAACTTTCCTGGCGATTCTCTCTGAATACATATTAAAAGCTTTTCAGCCACAGGGCACTTGCGTGGCCCGGACTGGTGTTATCTGGCCGTAGGATGTTGATCTCACATGGGGTTCATCAAAAGCTTTCTGGGTCTTATTTTTCGGCCATGTCCTTTGGGGTTGTGTGGGATACACAGTCCTGAGACGTCCGATGTGAATGTCAGCTTCCGCTTTTCGTGCGTGGCCCTCAATGGGAAAGTTAGTTGGTTCAGGCGTGGGATGTTTGTTTGTTTGTTTTGCTTTGTTTTGTCTTTTGTTGTGGAATGTTCAGTGACAGACGGGAGCTCGAATCCTCTTCGTAGTGCAAAATTCTGCGGTCCGGTGAGTGGAGAGAGGAAAATTAAAAGAAGAAACATGTTCGGAGCATTTCCAAACCTCCGAACATGTTTGGGTGTTCAGTCGAACATTATAAAAAAAAAAAAAAAACAGTTCAAAAAAAGACAAATTACTAAATTAGGTTTTTAACCTTTTTTTTTTTTTTTTTAACTTTTTTCAAGTGTTTGGTTACGAATTTGAGCATACCTGCCAGACAAACGTTGTTTGTATTACCATCTCACATAAGTTTTTTTTGCGATTTTTTTAGATTTTTTTTTTTTTTTTTTTTCTTGTTCATGTTTGGAGGGTTTTGGTGCTCGTTTGCGTTCAGTCGTAAACGTTCGGGTTCGGTCATCGAACCCGAACATGATGGTACACAGGAAGAAACTGTGAAAATAAGCAAAAACAAAAATGGACCGGGCATGTCAGAAACGTGCAGGGCCTCGCCACACCACCGTCAAATTGGGCCATTTTTTGACACTCCTCAGAATTTTTTTATTTTTACTTTTTTTGAAAAGAGATTTGAGATTACTCTCAAAATGAGGCCAGGAATCCCTTGACATATCAACCTGGATCAGGCTGGATGTGGAACCTGCTGGAAACCGGGCCCAGAGTCCCATGGGGATCCAACTGTGACACGGTCTTGCTGGATACCGGGTCGAGCGTCCCAACATCTATAATTTTATGGAAAAGAAAGTTGGAAACCGGACGAAAAATCGAGTAGTAAAAAAGGTGAAACCACGAAAAATCGACGAAGTAAAAAAGGTAAAACCAGAAATAAAGGAGGAAAATACCATGGGCACCAAGAGACTCCTGGTAGACATCTCCTTTCTCTCCGACTGTCCTGTGTTTCCTGCTGTGAGGGCAGGATCTTAGAGTCGTGTCTCAGCAGACTCCGTTCTCTGTGTGAGTCATGTCTCAGCAGAAATCAGCCACTGTGCACATTGGAGCTTGCCCTCTGTATTCAAAGAGGCAAAGATACCGTCGACTGTCCATGTCTTATGGAACCAGATCATGCCTCTACACCTCCAATCTGCATAGATTACCCTTCTGAGGCCGGACTTGATTGAGTTTAAGGTCGGACAGACATGATGCTTCTCCCCCTTGAATATCAATAAGGCACTCCGGGCCGACCAGATGCCGTCCATGATTAAACCTCTGCAGACAAGGGCACTGTACGCAGTACCTGCCTCGAAATTGCTTGGGCCGACCAGATGCCTTCCATGATCAAAACCTCTGCAGACACGGGCTCTGTACGCAGTACCTGACTCGAAATTGCTTGGGCCGACCAGATGCCTTCCATGATTAAACCTCTGCCGACAAGGGCTCTGTACGCAGTACCTGACTCGAAATTGCTTGGGCCGACCAGATGCCTTCCATGATTAAACCTCTGCGATAAGGGCTCTGTACGCAGTACCTGACTCGAAATTGCTTTCAGCAGGGAGCTTGCAGTGTAGTATGAATTCGTCTGTCCAGTCCATACCCTGTTCGAGTTGTCCCTCTTCCACTTCTCCTCCTTTTTTTTTTTCTTTTTTTTTTAACCACTTCTCCTTCCACCGCTCCCAGATCTGGATACACAGCGGGGGCATGATAACCAAAGGTGGGTAACCGTTGCAGATTCCCATTGCCATTCACATCTGGATACAAGGAAGGGAGCTGCATGCCTCTTGCTATTAGCCACGTAGAGCTGGGAGTGACTTGTAGTGAGATTTTGCAGCCATTGGATGGCGGCATTTCTCTGCGAAGTTATACTTTTACCAGAGGCTTTTCAGAGTTTTACTAGAGGCTTGTCTGTTACCGCAGTCCCTTGGAGGTCTGAAAGTCCAAAGTCTTTTTCGTTGCTGTTGAAATCGGTTTTCGTTGCTGTTGAAATCGGAGGTTTCTTTATCAGGCTGCGCAGTATTTGGACTCCCACTTTGTGGGCTTGTAGAGAACAATGGGGATCACAGTTTGATATTTTTGAGCAGTCTTCCAGCCGTATAACAGGAAACCCACAGCAACAGAACACCAGGGCTTCCTTGCTAAGGTTGCATGGGAAACAATTGCCAACCCCAGGAACCAAAGGGGTCTTGGTATTCTGGACCCAAAACACCAAAACCTGTATTATTAATTTATTAGTCAAATGGCCAATAATGGCGATGTTAGGTGCAGAAGGAAAAACCTGGGTTGCTCTAGCTGAGTATATCCTAATGAGAGAATGGTCCCTGTCTGGATCATGTCTGGCTATGCCTCCTCGTTGATTCCTTCTGCAACCGAAAACCAAAATCCAGAATATGGGCAGATATACTATACGCCTGGGAGAAGACTAAAGCCCCAAATTATAACAGAGCCAGCCTCAAAATCAGAGATCCTAAAGCAGAGCCTATTTGAAAATAGACTGATTAAACACCGAGAGTCGACACACCTAATGGCTGAAGATAGCCTAGGCTCATTTGGGAGAGCATGGGTTGAAAAAGGGGTAATCCAAATAAAAGGTACTTGGGACTGCCAATCCGGGGACTGGATCTCTACTGAGACACCCAGACAGAAATTGCCAAGGCTGCGCAACACTCACCTTTTTTTTTTTTTTTTAACCCGATGGAGCACGGATCAGATATTAAGCTGATCAGAACAGAAGCTACACTTGATCTTAGCTAGAAGCCCGAGAACTAATTTTATAAAACTTAAATTAGCTATCCCAGCGCATTGGGTCACATCCCTTAGGAGAGACTGAATGTAACCCATGCAGCTGGCTTCCGGACCCCAAAGAAAGGATCTTCTGGAAAGTAGTTGGGCCAGATCTAACTGCAGGCACACGAGCCCGGGAAGTCGGCGGTCGACAGTTTACCCCTCATTCGCCACACAGGCTGCGAGGGGCAGGTTTTTGGTCATGGCCAGGCGGACTCCGCCTTTCGACAGGGCACGGGTGTCATGGAACAGTCCCGGACAATGCAAATTCGAACGCAATTTTTGAAAAGTCGGCGGGTCACTGTCCAGTTTCCGTCACCTGCAGTCTGGAGGAAACGATTGCTGGAGGGCGGCTGTCGAAAGTACCGTTCTGACACCTGTCGAAATTATTTTGAGCTGCAATTCTTTGAAAGTCTGTGTGGCAATGCAAAATTGTCGAAAACCTGGTTTTCGACAGGCCTGGGGGGGAGCCTCTTACTGATTCGATGGTGTGACCCGCCTCGGGTACACAGCACCGTTGAATCGGCATGGTGTCAAGCTTGCTGCTCGGATGGCCTCACTAGAAAACACTGAAAACACCGTTGAATCGGCATGGTGTCAAGCTTGCTGTTCGGATGGCCTCACTAGAAAACACTGAAATTGTCAGCTCGCCGCCCTGACAGCCGTCAAAAGTAGACTACTTTTCACCCTCTCGAGGCCTGTTGAACTTTGGGCCTCCGTCGAAAGGCATTTTCTGAAGGGTGGTGAACCAACTCTGACAAGTGCCGATTCGACAGCCTGTTTGGCAAAGCGAGACAGTCGAAAAACCTGTTTTGACTGTGGTGTGGCGAGGCCCACAGACTCAAATTTGAATCCAATCACGGATTCTGATCTGTCGTTGACCTACGCAACTTGCTTGCATTGCGCCACCTACCTCTCCTACGTGACTGCTATGTTCTGCCCTTCTGGCGACGTGACCTACAATGGCCAGCAACCGACGTGGGCTGTGACCAACCTGCCCACTGTGGCACGAAGCGCTACCAAAGCACCACGCAGACATTCTCTCTCTTTCTCTCTCTCTCTCTCTCTCTCTCTCTCTCTCTCTCTCTCTCTCTCTCTCTCTCTCTCTCTCTCTCTCTCTCTCTCTCTCTCT